GTATAATAAGAATAACACTTTATTTCCCATAAAAAAACCAAAAAAAAATTTTGAAACAAAAAGTATAATACACAAAAATTTACAAATAACATAACAAATAAAGTTTTAGTGTTCATTTTCAGCTTATCGCTTACTATGATTACTTATACACCTATTTCGATAATAAAATAATATTTTACATAAAAATAAATAAACATACACTATCGATATACTAATGGTCAATTACTTTTCTGTGCCGATCTCACATGTAAAATAGAACACGATCCCGCACAGAGCAAAAGCGCACACTCGCCGGTCATGCAATATTAACTCAATTCATCTGTAAAGCTACTAGCTCAGTACTGACACGAAACTTGAGGTATTCCGTTTACAGTGTTCAAAGCATTTAATTAAATTTATTTAATGGTAGTTGTAAGGCAATGCCAATAACTTTTTTATTTGTTCACCCACTGTTAAATGGTTACTGACGATCGTGGACATCTTTATTAACGAAGATGCATTGCCGACTTTTAAAAGAGTTATATTAGGTGCAGATCATATCAGTCATCTGACGAAATGCAAAATTATCGCATATCAACCTCAGATGTGCGATGTTTTTTTAAATCAAGAGTAACGACATTTACAATCTATAACATGTCACTTTCTATGAAGGCGGTAGCAAGACATAGAAACGTATAAGTAAGTATCACCGGTGGAGAGCCGTATAGGACGTACCTTATTATTTTTATTATTTATAGGACGTACCTGTACACAAGGATATGTATTTATATATCCTTGTGTGTTAAATCAGTTAAGTGTAGTACAGTTGACCGAGTTACTGCAACCCTATGGTTGTTACAATTGTGACAGTTATTTCTTTCTATTGCTGGTGCATAATTGATTCTCTTTTAAAAAATATTTAAAAAAAAAACCGGTAACTCATGATGACCGACTATTTATACACATCTAAAACCGCACACGTCGTTATAAAAACGGCAGTGCCGTGCAATCATTTACCGAGTAACCCGTTCGAATAAAACGTTCCGCCGAATTTATAGCACATTAGTGTGGCCGATTACGCATAAAATTTGCCACACCTTGGCACAAACACGTCGTATGGTGTGGGGTGATGACCGAATCAAAATTAATTGTTTGCCAACGTGTAATTAGCGGTTTTTATAGGTGCGTTGCCTCCTTGTGTGTAATAGCAATATTACAATTTACCAGCGGATCCGACAGACGTCCTCTATACATGACTTAAAACCAACAACTTATAAATTAAAAATTAAAAAAAATTGAAGTGGGCCATATTGTGAATCTAAACCATTCTCGAATCGACCTGAAGACACAAAATTTCATTGAAATCGGTCCAGCCGTTTAGGAGTTCAGTTCAATTATATATGTGAAGAAAAACATATGACACAAAGTTCTTTAAAAGTTTATATCCTGCTAAAACAACTTTAACCATATAACATAGTAGTCGAAATAGAGACTTATTTTTCCCACTACTAAGCCTTCCTTAGTATAGGCGGTATTTGTCTATCAAATCAAAGTCAAATTTTATAAGAGTAGACTCTTACAATTGGTACATATAAATCAATGGTGACATAAATGTTTCGTGTTTACATTCCTACAAGTCAAAAAAAAATAACTTCAATCAATTTAATCCATTTTAAATTTCGTGAAGACTTTTTTTATGTAAAAAGTTGCAGAACGAGCAGACGGTTCACCTGATGTTAAGTGAATACCGCCGCCCACGGACATCTGTTACACCCGAGGGTTCCAGATGCGTTGACAACCTTTTGAAAATTGATAGTAACAATTGTTGCACCAAACATGCAAATGGAATATTAGCTGGAACATCAATCCGGTACTATCTAAATACTTATTAATTATTCAAAAAAAGTTTTGATCTGAAGTTAGGTGCACTATACGATGATGTGTTCGCTAGAGTCCGTGATTCACGCCGTCCGTCCGTCTGTCCGCCTACGTGGGCTTATCACAGAGGCGCCGAGAAGTAATCTACTTCCCAGCTCATTTCGTATAAGGCGGGTTGTGCCGTTGAACCACAAACCTATCGGTTTTAATGGCACCGTGAATAAATAAAAGTCGAGTCGTAATTTCTGACTGGAGACTAAAGAAATTTCAACTTCTGATGCCCTTATGAACGTTTAAATATGTAGTAACACTGACAGACGACAGACTCTGCAGCAGACAGACGCCCTAGTGGAAGTCACAAATATATGTACATAATCTAATTTAACCGTACGCACGTCGAACCCCTATTATATTTTATTAACAAACTAACTTTACAGACTCTTTTTTATTAACATGTTTTTTTTTTATTTTCTTTTTGGGCTGTCACCGCCGCGTACATCAACCGGGCTGGTAACGATGCAGCAGAAAAAATATGAAATAATTACAACGGGGAAACGTTTACTTTTAAAACATCACCTACTTAGATGCAAATTGTATCCATAAAACTAAGCCCGGGTCAAGAAGAATCATAAGAATATTTTATGAAAACTTATCCACTGCAGATGTTAAATCCACTAGTCACCATCGCGAAGATAATTTGATTAATCACCCACCAATTGCGCCAATCAGAACAGATTCTATAACTTATTTAGCGACACGCTAGCAAGTAGTTGATAACCCGACCTGACGAAAACCACTTACAAATTCAGACTTGATGACCTCACATGCTCTATAATGCCGTTATTCACTCTATTTGTCTCTATTTACTCTTGCCTTAACAATGGAACTGTTTAGTAAAAGAAACCTTACATATTAAATCCAAATAGTACCATAGTCATCGCCCTGTTAATCAACATGAATAACAAAGACGATGTAACGTCACAGGATATCAAAATACGTCCATAATACACGATCACGACAAATTGCCGCCGTCGAGGCGGGCGTCAGAAAAAATTCGCTCCAGTTTCGACGACAAAAACCATTTTATTGCGACTAACAAGCGGCCCTGATGTTATCGGGCGTATTACTTTCATCCCTTATCGAGGGCCGCGCCCTTATAATTGGCTTGGGTTAGGTTTACATACAGGCGAAAGCTTTTAATTTTATTTGAAGTTACTTGTAGCTTACTTTATACAGTTCTAATACTGTCCGACATACAAGCTGTACTTAAACTGTCCAGATGGGTCTAGAAACATGAAATTTTGCACAGCTTCCTGTATATATGGGCTTTTGTAAATTCTCAAATTCTCCAAAGAGATGAGTCAGTGGTGATTCATAACTATGTTATTTTTTTTCAATTGCAATTGACCTACCATTACAATATTTTTTAAAATTGTGACACGAATGAAAATCTTTTTATTTTATTTTGTTTCAAGTGTTTATGGACAAAAAATGGCACAACATATTAAACAACGTAACACGAGATAAGGTTGGGTCATATATTAGATAAAATTATTAAAAATATGCCTCAGATATTAGAGTTTGTAAACGTCCTCATTTTATCAATAAATAATTGTCTAGGAACAATGTGAGACTGTCATGTGAACCGGCCTTTAAATTTTTTGTCCTATAGGTACCGATAATCATGTCACACGTTTTTTACGTCCAAGCCACACAGGACAAGATGGCGTTACGATCAGATTATCATAGGCTTTTGGTCGGATTATTACTTAATTTTTTTTAAATCTCCTACCTGTCCGGAACCCAGGAATTCGTAGGCGAATAGAAGATCCCGATATAGTTGTCAAATAACAAGCCATAGTTGAGCCCGGTGACGGCTTCGAAAAATGCGGAAGACAAGTTCACGTTAATTTGGTTAGTGATTCTCACCAACTGTAAGGAGCTTCTTAACCGGGGGAATATTTTATTTACAATACCTATTAGAGATTTGTCGAAACATTTTGGTCGAGTGTGCTAAGATAAACATTACGATTTCTTATGCAACTTGAGGCCTTTTGAAGGCTTGATTGTTATGTAGGCTTAAGATTTTCGACCCGCGTCGTGATAATATGTTTAAACATTTAGTAAATCCTTTGCCAATGTGACACGCACACAAAAAGACTATCAGTTACATTTTTATTCGGATTTTTAAAAACGTTCTTTTAATTCAAACATCAGGACTATGACGAGCCCGTAAAAACAGTAAAATACTTAAATAATGCAACGTAAAACGAAGAAGCTATACTGTAAAATTTATATTATAAATTATAATACAGATAAGCAAATTTATGGTGTAGCTCTCATAGACACACCAATGTAAATCACGTCGACTATTTTTGAAAAACATTCAATGTCACCTAAAAACAAATGGCCTGGTTCTTCATATCATATAGTTCATCATATCCACATAATATTCTCAAGAAATTCTGGTTATTTTTTATTGACTTGTAGATATTTTCCTCTTTTAATTATAATAGTTCGGAATTAATAATAGAGATTATACTAATACATCCATAATAGCTCGTGTATCTAAAATTTGGTAAATGATCCAACACTTAAAACTATTTTATGCAGTTTGATGCTGACAAAATTCATAATTGGGACTTGTTCATTATTATAAAAACTCTCTACCGGAAAAGCGATTCAAAAAAATAAACCCTATTTCCCTCGATGGAAAATATTTCAAGACAATCAATTGTCATATCAGACTTAAGTAAGTTAATCAAATAAAATTATTTGACTATTTCAAATGTACATATATAATGCTGAAACTATTTTTTAACCACCTACATTATCAATGGAAGTTCCTTCATTTCGATATCAATTACTTTATAACTATAGGGATTTGGGGGAAAACTTGTCTTATTACAAACAACACACCATAATGTATGATAAACGATAAGAATATCTTATGAAAAATCCTGCGGATGTTGAATCTACTAGTCATCATCGCAAAGATAATTTTATTAATTTTACCTGCCAAATACACCAATCAGAACAGATTCTATGACTTTTTTCTGTTATATTTCACGCATGGTTTGTTGTTTCCGACACAATCATAGAGAACAGTGCGAGGGCTGCATAAAGAATTTGCATTATCGTTAACCGACGCGCACAAACGCGGCGGCGGGCATTCTGCCGACCTCAATTTCGCCGATCCGCTCGTAAAGCCGCGAGCCGTGTAAAAAGCCTATAAAATTCAATTGACACCCGTTAAAACCGATAACGTACGGCCGGGGCTGCACCTCGCTCGTGTTAACATAAATTGTAGAGATTCCGATGAGTGTAGCGTGCGACGCAGTTTTAGCAAGACGCGCGAGCGACATATTGCTGTCATAGACAAACTTCAGTACAGAACTTTTTTTTTTATAAAATTGATTTAGCTTTGTGGTTAAAGCGCCTGGGTGCGATCGAATCTAGAAGACGCGGGTTCGATTCTCACAGCGGGGAATATCTTTGCGCCCATTTTCTACAAATTTTAATGTTTCATCTTGAGTGCAGGAGTTAGCACTAATATATTAAAATTTGAATAAATAGATAGTTTTAAATTAATTCGCAATTTTATTTAAAATATATTATTTAATAAATTTTAACGTTAATTGTAATTCTACGCTTTCATCCTTTTTAAGATAAGCTTATGTGTCCGTACAAGATAATAATCAAAAAGAATTACCATTTTAACTTCGCCTTAAAAGTTAAAAATAAATTAGTACATGACACGTAAAAAAATCGATGAAAAAAATAATCGAGCATTATTGTCAAGACATTATTTTAAATTTTTAGATCCAAATTTATTACATACAGGAAAACGTTTCGTGTCAATTATTGGTATTTTAATATACATGTCAAGCCGACTAAAACCCCGATTAAGTCGGCTGTTTCGTTAAATTCACGATGTACCGTAAAAGTGTAAAAGAGTTTATAAGTCAAATTAAGATAGCAACTTTCAAAGTCATTGGGAGCCCGCTCTAGTACTGATTTACTAAAATCGAACCCGAGGAAAGACAGTTTCCTGCCTCTAACTGTTCATTTCTAATTTCAAGTCCATTCGTCTTGTTAGGCAACTTAAGTAACGAATCGAAGATTCCGAACGACATAAAGCGTCGCATGTTTTTACTGCTGCCGATAAGAAATTTAAAAAGTTAAAAGAATCCGAACGCCTAAGTCCGTACATTAGAGCTCAATTTAGAATTTTAGCGATTTTAGCTTCCGCGACCACGGCGCTCCCTCGCGGCGTTTAACGACAAACTAGAAAGCACAATAAAAGTAGCCCGGTGTGGGTGTTCCGACCAGCGTCTTTGTTTTATGTTTATAACGTTTTTATATTAACCCTTGGCCATAACGTGTCGAGGGTCCGATAATATATTTGTTTATCGGAGCGGCGCGCACGCATAAGTTACGGCTAAATTTAGAAACGCCAAAACTTACGTACGGTACGGTAAGTTCAATAACGTCAAACGCCGAGCTTGGTATGCAACACCAAAATTTTTATGCGACCGTATAAAAGTTTCGCTTCGTGTGGTGTGCGCTTTACGATCGGCGAGATGCCCGTGAAATGGCAATACGAATTATCCATATCCGGTAGTCGGAGATTTGTATTTATTACACATGCCTTTTTGATACCCGTATGTAATCGTGATTATGACGAGACGTTTAAGACCACACACTCATTGCGTCTGCAACAAACGACATTTGGAACTTGTAAACAAAAACATAAAAAAAGCAATTCCTCGCTCGGTAGTGGTGATTTCACGTATGAATATTGTTTATCAAGACTTTTCGTGTTCGTAAATAGCAATTTCGGGTAATTCTATAGGTATATTATATGTTCGGCCTATAAGCAATAACTAAAGAACAATTGTAGACAATTTTTCTTTACAAGACTGAAATGCATGCTGCGTTATGCATCTCACCAATACAGTCACAATAGTACAATTTATTTATTTACCTCCCTCTTCCTTATCATTGAGTGTTTTTGATAAGATTGTAATTATATTTCTAGAAGTATAATACAAAACTTTTCCGTCCCAAACCGTTTAGATTTTTAACTTTATGCACATTCTTAAATAACAGTGGAATATCGAATGATTGAACAATTACTCGTCGAACAAAACGAGCAATAAGTGATGGAATTTAAAACATATCTCAAGCAAGGCAGCTCAATCGTTGAATGGAGTGGGTTATTTATTAGTATAGATTATCGCAACAAATCACCCCGTCCCCGAATCATTTGGTGTAACCCGAGAACGCCCCTTATATTTGATGATTGGACAAATAAATATATTTTCCGTATCCTGTTTATCGGGTCTGGGGTGTTAATAAAAATGTAGGGTGGCGCGGGCACAAATGGTCCACTGAAATAAATCGCGTGCCGTTTAAAAAGGCAACGCGCGATTAGTATCTCAACTTTTTTTTAGTTTTACCAATCCTCCCACAGAGCTTCGATGTGTGATTTTATAATTAACACCAAAGCGAGTATACTGTTAAAAATACATAGTGTATCTGTACGAAGATAAGAAATGTACAAGATAATTAATTGTGTTGGAAAACTTTAACTGAACGGTATTGGAAAATCGTGGCGTTAGTTTGTAAAAAGAGGGTGGTCGATTCTTGCCGACACACCCCCACGATGTGAATGGGCTCGTGGTCGGGGTGGCCGGCGTCCGTCGTCCTATCGTTCCTAATAAATTAGAAGCCACTAATACAAGCCGTGCCCTTACAGAAGACTGGTCGTGTCAACTCGCCACTAATGTAATGCCGCGATAACACGTTCAAAACCACTCATGTACACATCACTGCGGCTACGAGACACCTCGTTGCTCCCAAGAAGACTGTACCCCATCGCAATAAGGACGAGTTTACCCCCGTCACGGTTCAGCCAATTTTGGGCGCGTTTAAAGCACATTCGTTGTATTAAGGTGCGAGGAAATGTTACCTCTTTTATATCGTTAGTTTAGGATTCGCTGTCACGTGGATCGTTTGTGTAATGTAAATTCTCTCGTGCTTTATTGTTGACAACGGCCCCGTAATTGATTGCGGCCGTATTTATGGTTGAATGGGGAATTTTTTAACGTCACCTCATTTAATATTTGCCACGTGACGCATCGGCTGATGCACTTACAAATGTGTAAACCTTTCAATGCGTCATTCGTATCATCTCCTTTTAAAAAGAGTATTACAACGATCTTTTAACATTAATACTTCCTTTTGCTATAGAATAATTATATATATTTTATGATGAAATTAATAATTATAGATATATTTTATATCTACGATTTGTGAGATTATTCTCCAATAACGACTTACGACTTAAGTAAACACGCTAGGCATAGGCCTCCTGTATAGGGCATGAAAAACGACGAACAACACAACTTTTCGTAATAATATCTCGATTGTCACAACAGATGATTATCGACATCGGTATCGCATCTCATGGACCCTACGCGGGCACATCTCTCTGGGTTGTCAGCGGCCTAGGTGTTATTAACCGTTCCAATATTTAAAAATACAACGGGCTGTTCACGCTTGGATCTATTCGAATGCTCCTTTTTTACCGCGTATGAACGGGCGATCGGTTACAATACTAATATGTTCACGGATAGGAACGGACGGGAGTGCGCAGCGGCGCGGAATGGGCCCATCTCGCGATTTGTCGCCGAGATCCCGTCGCGATAGCGGGAACTAGCGTCAGCCGGCGCTCTCACTTCGGATGGGTTTATGCCATACGGACAATATAGGACGGGGCGAAAAATCGAGGGGCAATAATGCAATACTAGTTTTTTCACGCTGGCTTGGCAAAAAGATTAAGTTGTGGAACAGTTGTTGGTGGTAAACTAACTGAGAAGCCTCTTAACTCTTCCTTCCATCATACTACTACCAACCTATGGATGTGGGCACATGCCCATATCCATAGGTAATATTATAGGTCTCTTTACATACATATGTAAAGACACCTATAATATCACGTACTATATACACTCATTTTGTGCTATAGCTTTTCGCTACTTTTACTGCAGTAGATCTATGCAGTAGCTTTTCCTGTTGCACGTGCACCTTACAGTAGATCACCGTCCGGTGCTTCTTATACTGAGGTAACCGGGCCCCCTGTTCAAGTAACCTTTGGCAGCCAGTGGCAAAATTGAACAGACTGCAATTGTGCCATTGGCTGCTCATAATACTTTTATATTACGTAGGAGCAATTGTACCCTTTAACTATTTGTTCTCTCTCATTTAAATTATTTTCATTTAATGACGGAGCTTGGAAATTATCATCCCATCGGATTTAGAACTTAGAAGTTTGGTAAAGCAGCAGTTATAATTATAGTATTCGTTCAACTGTTCAAATAACAAAAAGGTTTCTTTGCATATATCGCCGTTTCATTTCAGTTATTTTAAGTTTTACGGTAAAATAAATATTAAATAAACGAAAATATAAAGAATAAAAATTTTAATTTACTCATTTAATTACTTTTTAACATAGAGTAGGCAAAATATAGTAGTATAGATATACTATTTTTTGACAATAAAATTTTTTAAGTGTGACCAACCGTGAAAACTAAACAGAATTAACTTATCTCTTCAACTACAAATCTAAAACAACTACTAAACATATTATCTTTTACGAAAATATTCTTGGCTACTCCACTTCTGCATGACCTCGTCCTCTCATACGAATAAAAAGTACATTGTGGCAAGGCCTCTTGCACGTCTCTCCGTGCGGACGTCGTGAAAAGGGAACATCGAACAAACTAGTCGAATGTAATCGGCCCGACGCATCGATGCTCATTCAATAATCGAAACATGTCGTCGAAGCCGGAGCACTTCGTTCCTTTCGCATTTAGTCAGTCTTGTTTATTATTATGTTTATTTGTTTTATTACTTTATATTTTATTTCCATCAATGACTATAGACTTCACGAGTATAAATGAGGTTTGAGTACTTTCAATACAGTTGTTTTGTGGAAAGTTAATATATATTGGTACTTATGAGTAATTTTAATGGAAGATGAGCCAAACAAAAAGTGCCCCAACTGGAACCCTTTTAGGTCTTTAGATCGAATCAGTGTTGAAATTCTAATAGAAAGGAACTATTCCACAAAGCACTAGGTAAAGTATTGCCGACCAGCCAGAGTATATCGTATAATGGGCGGCGGTTATCACTTAACATCACGTGAACCGCCAGCTCGCTTGCCACCTCTGCCTCTGCCATCTCACATAAAACAAAAAAGTTACGTAAAGTCTCTTCGCAAGGCAAAAGAAACCAGACGACCAGCAGGAGCTCGTCTTTCGACAACTCCGTAAAGTTACGTAACAGCCCCACTACTGGG